ATGAGCTCGTTGCTGTCCTAATTTAGGATCTTTTTTTAATAAATTCTTGAAAATGTTAATAAAGAGAGAAAGAAAGGGGCCAGGCGAGGATGTTTGCCCCGGGGGCTCTCGACGTTCCTGCATATACCACTAGGTGTCCTGGAGATCTGGGCCACATCAAAGAACCGCTGAAAGTTTCATGGCGATAAAAACTTCGGAAGTAAGCACTAAGATAGAAGAAAGATAATAAAATATAGGAACTTTATTTATTCAAAATCTGAATTTTTCACTTTGTTTTGTTTGACAAATGTATAAGGAGTGAATAAAAATCATTAACAAAGCAAAGGTAGAAAGTTAGAAAATTTTTGTCACTGTCAGACAAACACGTACAAGCCTCTTTATAATATACATTACGGTGAAATATTTAATAGCCATTGTGTTATAATATTTATATCGTAGCACTAATTTGTATAATCATGAAAATATATTTTTCATTTATTGTTTTCCCACCGATGGGTCAGCTGTAAGTTTACGGGCTTAAAACGCTAAAATCCGAGGTTCGATTTCCCGCATTGGACAGAGTGCAGATAGCCCATCGTGTAGTTTTGCGATGAAACAACCACCTGTATTATCTACTGCTAACTAAGAATCGAAATTCATGTTCAGACGGTTCCGACCATAGCTTGTATAGAAAATTACATAGTGCAATTATTACTGTCCTCTTATCTTTGGTAGTTAATTAAATTTTGTCGTTCTTCATATTTTCGCTTGGTAGAAACTTTGTCTTTGATTAAACGAGGTGTGGAAAACTATAATATTTCTTACATTCAAGTATATGCCAAACGTTTATTGTTTTAATGGACTGTTGAAGTTATGCAAGACACCATGAAACTAATGACGCTGTTCACCGCAAGTATTCAAGTGTAGCTAATATTACTTTGAAAGGGTTGAACTTTTCTAAACACGTTGCTTCTACTCTCTTGCTTAACGGGTGTTTAACTTTGTATGTTGATGATATGTTGTGAAACAGGTCTGAGCAAAGAACGAAACGGATAGGTAACCCCTTCTCATTTTAGCCATTGTACATTACGCCATGTGTCCAATGAAAATAGACAATATTTTCCGTGTCAATATACCATATGACATATTCTTTTTACACACTAGATGATACGGTTGTCACTGATACGTACGTCATCAACCATTCAAAGGCTATTGGTGAGACGAGATACGCATGCGCAGTAGCAGTTATTTTGGTCAATGACTGGTCGAAAGAAAAAGGTATAAAAATTGATAGAGTAGGATGTGTTTCTAAAACAACCTGAAGAAAATTCAACTGTGAAAGAAAAACTGTCCGAAGACATATTTATTCGCTATTGCTAACAATGCGTTTGAAGAACTCAGAATATCAACAAATGACAAGTTCTGAAGAGAATGGTTTGGCAAAAGAATTCTGTTCTGTTGTCCGAAATGTTTCTCCTTTAAAGTTGACCAACATCACCACTGGCAAACAAATAAACGATACTTTGTACCTTCGTTCACAGGTAATATAACAATAACTTTATTTATTCAAAACAAAACCTGAGTTTTTCTTTCAATGACAAATGTCTATGGAGACATTTAAATCATGAACATTTCATTTCTAAAACTATAATTAAGATATATCCAAGAGGGATTTTCTCCAATCATAGTCAGAGCAAGAAACGCTATCATTCAAGTTGGTGTTATACTTTAAATCCAGTATTATTAATTCTATTCACACATAACGGTAATCATTACTGTAAAATTTGTTTTAATTTAAAGTTTTAATTTATGTTGTAGATTACTCTTGAACAAGTGTTTTAAATTATGTTGAACTACTATAGAGATTGTGCTTTAAATTATGTTATAGGCTGCCATAGGACGAGTGTTTTAGATTATTTTAAATTACTCTCGGTTGTGTGTTTTAAATTATACTTTCGGGATTGTGTTTTACGTAATAAACTGCTGTCGAAAATATATTTTAAACTATATCAGATTACTTACCGTCGAGTAAATATTTGAAATTCATTTATATAACTGTCAGACGCATATTTTAAATAATGTAAGTATACTATCTGAAGTGTATTTTAAACTACATTAAGTTACTGTCATATAGTATCAATCGTATTTGTTAATGGTAATAAGTTATTGTCAAACCCGTGATAAAACGATATTATAGATCTAGATCACTATTGCACGTGTGTTTTGAATTACATCAGATTGTTTTTGAGCGTGTATTTTAAATTACATTAGAATGTGTGTTTTAAATTATATTGAACTGTTATCTGGATTGTGTTTTAAATTATCTTACAGTACTTCCTTACGTATGTGTTAAATTATATTATATTACTATCAGAAGTGTATTTTAATGATAACAGGTTATAGTTGAGTATGTTGAGTGTGTTGAGGTTATAGTTGAGTATGTACATCTTTTAAATTGTGTTCTAGGTTGCTGTCGGACGTGTTTTTAGCCCCGGTATAGCGGCTCATAGCACGTAATCTCTTGGCCCATTTGAGATCTAATTACAGTTTTGGACTCAGGAAGTTAGACCCTTTCGAATGATCTATTTGATTACGCCCAAGGTCTCATAGATTAATTTACTCTATTCCTGCCTAAAAGAATTTCAATTTGAGGGCAAGCTGGTAGAGATCCTAATGAGTAATAAAATTGAATCAGGTATATGCGCGCCCCACGATTGTCATTTCTGGTGCACAAAAATATAGCTAATAAAAAAGAAAAAAAAAATGTCTCATAGATTAATTTACTCTAATCCTGCCTAAAAGAATTTCAAGTGCCGCGGCTATTGATGATTCCCTCTTGTTTAAATATTGTTAGATTACTGTAAGGTGTGGGTTTCAATGATGATTAGATATTATCATACTTCCGTTTTAAATTGTGTTAAAGCTCGCTGTCAGAGGGATGTTTTAAATTACTTTATAGATTACTGGCGGATGTGTGTGCTAATAAGTTATTGTCGAACGTGTATTTGAAATTATGTTGTCGGAGTTGCGTTTTAAAGTATGTTAGATTACCGCCAGACGTGTTTTATAGGTTGCTGTGGATGTGTATTTTAAATATTGTATTGTAAGGTATGTGTATGTGATTTTGCAATAATAATAACACAACGAAGATTAAAATACATCTGTTGTAAATATTTAGTCTGCTGGTTTTAGAATTTCGCGAAAATTTACACAGTAAATTTTGAAATTACATACTAGAGAGAAGACAGCTATAGTGAACAGTTCCCACTATAGGATTCTCTTATCTGTTGAATAGAATTACTTTATCATTATTTGTATAGCGTACCCATGATCTCAAACTACGAAGAACATTTTTAGCTGCAACGAGACGTGAACCACAATCTCTCAAATACGTAGTCCAGGGACGCTGAACACTAAGCTGCGCCTGACCATCAACAGGGGAAAGTCTCAACTCCAAATTAAGTACGGAAAGTAGAAAGTTACTGATATGTAAAGGCCATTAGCTGCTATTTTATAGAACTATATATTTTGTTTATTTACACGTGCTGCTTTTAATTCTAGCCAATCGCCTGCAAATCACAATACTGTTATGGCTCGTGTATGCCTGGCCAGTCAGGAGCCAGACCTCCAGGCTGTGCACGCCCACCAAATGAAATACTTCAGCAGGCAAAGGAATTTTTGGAGCAATTCAATGTACATAAAAAGTCGTAAGTAACCATGATTATGGATATTTCCACTTACATGGTAAAAAAAAAAAAAATTCTGTAAATTAAAAATGTTATACCAGAAATCTGCCACATCATCAGATTTCTGTTAACATTTGGGATTTCAAGTAATTGCATTATGTTTCCTTTATAACCTGTTTTCGTAGTTAATTTTGACTGTTAAAAGTACTTCTTGTAAGTCAGTTCCAGTAGTTTCTATGAATTAAGAAATTACAACAGATAGATGAACTACACACAACATCTGAAGAATCTGAACTTTAGTTTTATTGCGTATTTTCATAGAGAGACGAATAAGGACTATCTCAAACGGTGGGAAGAAATTAAGAGGGAAGTAGAGGTAGATGGCACATACACCCTCACCTTAGAAGAACTAACGTTTGGGGCTAAGCTAGCGTGGAGAAACGCCTCGCGCTGTATCGGTCGAATTCAGTGGAAAAACCTTGAGGTACAGGATGCACGGCATGTACAGACCACTCAAGAGATGTTCGAGGCTTTGTGTCGTCACCTGGAGCATGCTACAAATGGAGGAAATCTAAGGTTTGAATTATGCAAAGATCCTTACAAGAACTTTCCACTTTTTTTTCTAAAAAAAATACAATGAGAGACTACTTCGTTTTAATCTAATCTTCGATATACTAACACTAGTAACCTATTATTATTAAGATATTCCAAACGTTTTCTTCCCTATAGGTCGATGATTACAATTTTTCCTCCAAGAATAAACGGCCGAGAAGATTTTTGTTTGTGGAATCCTCAACTACTTAGCTATGCAGGTTACCTACAGCCAGATGGTAGCGTAGTTGGAGATTCAGGCCGTGTTCAGTTTACTCGGGTATATTCCGTTTCTTAGCGAACAATTCAAATAACTAATTTTAAGATATGTAACAACCTTAACGGTAGTGAATTACTACAGCAATAAATGGCTATAAATCTTTCGAATATTCATAATCAATATTTGGATTAAACTTAAAATGTCACTAACTTTATAGGTGTGCCAGCGACTGGGGTGGAAAGGAAGAGGTGGACGGTTTGATATTCTGCCGTGGGTGGTCTCATCACCAAAGGAAGGTCCCAAGTTTTATGAAATTCCGGAGGAATTGGTGTTGAGAATTAACATGGAACATCCCCAATATGAATGGTTTTCAGAGCTTGGTTTAGAATGGTATGCTCTTCCTGCCGTTGCCAATATGTTGTTCGACTGTGGAGGAATGGAGTTTCCTGCTGCCCCTTTCAACGGTTGGTACATGAGTACAGAGATAGGAGCCCGTGACCTGTGTGATCCTCAGAGGTACAATATCACCAAGGTAAGAATGATTCATTTAGGTATAATATCATTAACGTAAGAATGCTTCATTAAATTACAATATCACAAAAGAAAGAATGCTTTAATAAGGTACAATATCATCAAAGTAAGAATACTTTAGGTATAATATCAATAAGATAAGAATCTTTCACTAAACTACAATAGCATAAAGGTAAGAATGCTTAACTAAAATACAATATCACAAAGATAAGAATACTTCATTAAGCAGTATCACCAAGATAAGAATGCTTTACTAAAATACAGTGCCATCAACGTAAAAATACGTTACTAAGGTACAATATCACCAAACTAAGACTGTTTCACTAAGGTACAATGTCACCAAAGTAAGAATACTTTACTAAGATACAATATCAACAAAGTAAAAATTCTTCACTAAGGTACAATATCACCAAAGTAAAAATACGTTACTAAGCTACAATGTCACCAAAGTAAGAATACTTCCGTAAACTACAATATTACTAAGATAAAAATACTTCACTAAACTGCAATATCACAAAGATAAGAATGTTTCACCAAGGTACAATATCATCAGAATAAGAATATTTCACTAAGTTACAATATCACTAAGGTAAAAATGCTTAACTAAGTATTTTACATTGACGTGTGCAAAGTTAATTTGATTTATTTTCTTCCCAATGTCATGTCATCACATAGCTGATCAGATTAACTGTTATCATTCTTATCATTTACAGGATGTAGCAATCAAGATGGGACTAGATACATCTAATTTAACCACTCTCTGGAAGGACAAAGTGTTGTTAGAAGTCAATGTTGCTGTCTTACACAGTTTTCGGGTAGTGTATCTTGAGTTATTCCTGTATTTAAGCTATTTAACAAAATATAAATTAAAAATCATTAATGATATAACAACAGGTAAAAAATTCTCAATGTTTTTTTTTTTGCTGATTTTTCCCCCAAATAGAAAGATTTATTTTTCTTAATGTTTGGAAACCATTGAATTTCTGTAAATGTTGAATACTAGTGAAAGTATCCGGCTTCGCTCGGGATATTAGGTTGATATATTCTAGATGACTATGTCATTGTGTATACTCTGAACCTATTGCAGCATAGAAGAAGAGTCCAAAATATTTTAAACATTTTTATTTTCCAGAAACATAAAAAAGTAGAAAAGAAAGTACAGTAAATTAAGAATTATTTATTATCAAAGAACTTTATCATTGCGTTAAATATTTCGCATTTTTAATATTTCAATTTTGTAGTTTATACATTTCATTTTATACTTTCAGCACATAGACGCTTGACAACAATATTAGGTTATACTTTTATTGCTATGCAACATGATATAAAAGCCATTGTTGGAACACATTGTTACCAAAACGCAATGGCTTTTCTATATATTAGAAGTTGTTATATAAAGAACCACTTCTTTTCTGTGTTTTTTCGCTAGATTGCCTCTTTGAAAATATGCGTACGCGCGTGTCTGTCTGTAATTTATATCTATAATTTGTAGTATAAGGAACCACTTTTTTTCCTATGTGGTTTTTCGCTAGCTTGCCTCATTAAATAAATGCGCACGCGTATGTGCAAACGCACGTGGATAAGATAAGTAATAATACCCAGGTGCAGACCCTCAGGGTCCACTTAGTATGCGTGCAAAATTTCAGGATTCTAAATTTTTACAATTGGAGCTATGGCGGTCACATTTCTTTTCTATGTGGCTTTTCGCATACAAAGATGCGCACACTTTCGTAGATAAGTAATAATAACCAGGTGCAAACCCTCATGGTCCACTTAGTATGGGTGCAAAATTTTAAGTTTCTTGGTTCTTTCCTCTTGTAACTATGATGGTCACACAGACACTCTTGCGCGCGCACACACACACGTACGTTTCTGTCCGTCTGTCTGTGATTTCTATTTTTAATATAAGGAACAACCTCTTTTCTATGTGTTTTTTCACTAGCTTGCCTCATTAGAAAGTTGCGTGTCTGTCTGGCTGTCTGTGAATTCTATTCATAATATAAGGAACCATTTCTTTTCTAAGTGATTTTTCGCTAGTTTGCCTTATTAAAAAGATGCGCACGCGCACGTGGATAAGATAAGTAATAATATACAGGTGCATAGTCCACTTAGTATGGTTGGAAAATTTCAGGTTTCTAGGTTCTTTCTTGTTGGAGCTACAGTGGTCACATTTCTTTTCTATGTGGTTTTTCGCTAGCTTGCGTCATAAAATGATGCGCACGCGCACTGATAAGTAATAAAGTAATAATACCCAGTTTCACTACCCTCAGGGTCCACTTAGTATGGGTGCAAAATTTTAAGTTTCTAGGTTCTTTCCTTTTGAAGCTATAACAGCCACGCCTACACAGACATGCACGTGTGCGCACACACACACACACGTGAGTGTCTGTCTGTCCGTGATTTCTATTCGTAATATAAGGAACTACTTCCTTGTGTTTTTGCGCTAACTTGCTTCATTTAAAAGGTGCGTATGCGCACGCACATGGATAAGAGGTGCACACCCTCAGGGTCCACTTAGTACGGGTGCAAAATTTCAGGTTTCTAGGTTATTTCTTCTTAGAGCTATGGTGATTACAGTTCTTTTCTATGTGGTTTTTCGCTAGCTTGCCTCAATAAAAAGATGCAGATGCGCGCACGCACGTGGATAAGATAAGTAATAATCTACGTGTGCAGACCCTCAGTGTCACCTTATTATGGGTGCAAAAGTTCAGGTTTTTAGGTTCTTTCCTCTTGGAGCTATGGAGATCAGATTTTTTCTGTGTTTTTTTTCGCATAAAAAGACGAACACGCGCATGCGCGCACGCACGTAGATAAATAATAATACTCAGGTGCAAACCTCCAGGGTCCACTTAGTATGGGAGAAAATTTTCAGGTTTCTAGGTTTCTTTACTCTTGGAGCTATGTTCGTTTAACATGAAACTTATTATCTACAACTAAAATTCAAGGCAGCAATTTCATGCTTTTTAAGATACTTTCTTTCTCACTTGTAAATGCTGGTACATCGCCATTTTTAAACTTAAAATTTACAGTTAAAACAAATTGTTAGACTGTCGTAGTCCCAAATATCGTATATTATGTTCTCAATTTCGAAAGCTGATTGAAACATTTTTTTCTTTATTTTTACTGACTGAAATGTTTTAAGTCAGTTTCATATTGAATCATTTCAATTGGAAAATGAAAGCATAGACAGATTGTTCATGAAAATAAATGTTTCTTATCATTGTGGCTCAAATTGTAGTGTATTTTAATATTTGTCTTGTTGCGCAACCGAAGTTATTGTTTTTTTAAGTACACTTATTAACACTTAAGCCAATGAAGGTTTTTAATTTTGATGAAATGTACATTTATATAGTATATTGCACTTCAAATTTCATGAAAATTCGATCACGTATTTTTGTAGAATGGTTTAGTTCATGCTAGATGCTGCTTTTTATATAAATTTTAAGCTCAAATAATGCGTGTATGATTAAACGCATATTAAATTACTATTTCTGATTTAATTAGAACTTTGTGATTGTTTCTTGTTTGTATGTTTTTAAATAATGCCATCCGTATTTTTACTCCATACCGTTGTGCTTAAAGGCATTGTTTTTCTTCTTATTCAGAAACAAAACGTCACTATTGTTGACCACCATACTGCTTCTGAAACATTTATGACTCATATGGAAAATGAGTACAAGCTACGAGGTGGTTGTCCTGCAGACTGGGTGTGGATTGTACCTCCAATATCTGGAAGCATCACACCAGTGTTTCACCAGGAAATGTTGAATTATATAATGAAGCCTAGCTATGAATACCAGGTAATTATATACTAAACCCCAGCACCCGAGTATTAAATACTAAATCTGAAATCTAGCTATGAATATTAAGCCCGGCATTGCCAGATGGTTAGGGCGCTCGACTCGCAATCTGAGGGTCGCGGGTTCGAATCCCCGTCACACCAAACATTCTCGCCTTTTCAGCCTTGGGGTCATGGTAAAAGAGTTGGCGGTGGGTTGTGATGACTAGCTGCCTTCCAAGTCTTTCATTGCTAAATTAGGAACGGCTGGCGCAGATAGCTCTCGTGTAGCTTTGTGCGAAATTCAAAATTATATAGTAAAACCAAGCTACGTAGTTTATACACTTGTTGCGTATCTGCTTGTTTGTTAATTTCCGTTGTAAATTCTTTCCGAAGAGCTTCAGCGATACAAGTCCTTTCATAATTAAAACTAGTTTATTCTTTCTCGATACAACTTTGTAATACACAGAATTTCCACAGTCACTTTAAACTTAACAACCTTTATAACACACGGTATAAATCCCAATGATTCACAAACACTTTACTTACAGTGCCTACGGTTCGCTTAACTCAATTATCTATCTCTTCGATCTATCTATATCTCTTCAATCACTGGCTCTATTTGCCGGGCTTATATACTAAAAAAGAGGGAGCCTGGCAAACACTCGGACATTCGCGAGGTTCCTCGATAAGTCATGATCCTTCTAGAAACTCCAGCGCTGTCGTAACAATAAACTGAAACCTGCCGTGAAGTCCAGGTAATTATACACTGAAGTCTAGATACAAAGACCATACACTAAAATAATAAGGCCTAGCTATGAATTCCCCGTAATTATATAATTGGAACCTGCCAACGAAAATTATGCGTTCAAATACTGAAGCCTAGGCATGACTACCAAGTAATTACATACATAATTCCTGAAACCTAACTATCAATAACGGTAATCATATACTGAAACTTAGTTATAAACATCTAGATACGTAAATTATGCACTCTAATATTAAAGCCTAGCTATGAATACCAGATGATTATATGCTGAAACATAGCAACAAAAGTATGGCACTCAAATACTGAAGCTATGAATATCAGGTAATTATATCTATTGAAGCCTAGGTATGACTACTGGGTAATCATAAACTGAAACCAGGCTTCGAAGCTCTGAAGACCGAGTTTATCATAAATTGAAACCTAGTTATGAATATTAGGTATTTATAAACTGAAACCAGGCTTCGAAGCTCTGAAGACCGGGTTTATCATAAATTGAAACCTAGTTATGAATATCAGGTAATTATATACTGAATTATAAAATACATATGCCCCATAATTATGTAATCAAGCATAGCTACAAATATCAGTTAGTTGTATAGCGAAGCCTAGCTATAATGAAGCCCTATAAATCCGTACTGAAGAACACGATTTCATTATGTTGTGAAGCCTAGCTATGAATACCCTGTAAATCTATACTGAAGCTTAGCTAGAAATACGACTTCATTATGTTTTGAAGCCTAGCTATGAATATCCTGTAAATCTATACTGAAGCTTAACTAGAAATGCGACTTCATTATGTACTGAACTTTGGCCACAATACTATATTCTGAAACATGGTTATGTGTGTTCTGAGACTTGGCTAGGAATATTAGGCTGCTGTTGAATTTTGTGCTAACGCTAAGAATACTAAGCATATGTGTTGTGAGACTTGGCTACAAATATAAGATTGGTTATGTTTTCTGAAATATGGCTATGAATACTGGTTATGTGTATTCTGCGAGTTGCCTAGGAATACTAAATTGATTGTGTCTTCGGAAACCTGGTTATAAATACTAGTTTTGGTGTATGGTCTGGGACGTGGCTGACAATTGAGTTTTCAGATGTCGCTACAAATACTAAGTTCATGTGTTCTCTCGGTTAATGGTCAAATTTTATAGATAATCTTGATTAGCTTTGTTTTGTAATACTGATCGAAAGGTTGTAACTTATTATAGTTTTTCTGGCAACTGTTCACGTTTAAATAAATATAAAATATAAGCGTTTGAATATTGTTTAAAACTTGAACTTCATCTTATTGCAGAACTGAAAAACGAGGGGGGGGGGGAGAGAGAAAACAGTATGCTTTCCATGGTTTATACATTTAAAAATTATATTTTTCACATATATTTACAGGAAAACGCATGGAAGCTTTTCGATTGGAAACGTATCTCCAGTGTTAGCTTGAAATACAAATTTTCATCAGTTGCAAAGTAAGTAGTGAATACTAGTATTTTGTTGAATTTTGTGAGTTTCAAAAGTATAATTTTCATCTAATACTGTAAACATTTTTCATAAACATTTAACTTATCGGAAAATAAAAATACTTTTGAAATGTCAGATAAAAAGTAATCTTAATAAGTATTAAAATGTCGATATGGGACCTACTGGATTTCTTCGGTACTCGCATGTTAACAAGATTTTATATCTTTATAACAACCGCCTCCCCAGTGGCACAGAGGAATGTCTGTGGACTTACAACACTATAAACCGGGTTTCGATACCCGTGTTGGGCAGAGCACAGATAGCCCATCGTGTTGCTTTGTGTTTAATTATAAACAAACAAACAATACAACAGAACAACCGATAATTTAACATTAACTTCATCATAGGGCTGTGTGGATCACTTGCAGTTTGATGCACAAGGTTCGAATCTTCAGAGTGCGAGCAACAATCTTGTACGCTACTGAAACAGGAAAATCTGAGAACTTTGCTCATCATCTGGGGCGTCTTCTGGAAAACTCTTTTAATGTCAGAGTAAGTTGTCAGTAGTTTAAATCTTGTTTTAAAACCATCCATTTATAAAACATGTCGTCAAAAAGAAAATTGGTGTATTTTGAGAACATTGCGTTTACGAATATAATTCGATTATTAAAACAACTTCTGATGACGAGATTAAAAGTTTTGATGAAGACAACAAGACGATTTTTGTTTCCTTTATTCTGAAAAGGTGCTGTGTATGGAAGATTACAAGGCAGAAGAACTGGCTCAGGAGTCGTTGCTTGTGGTAATCAGTAGTACATTTGGCAGTGGAGAACCTCCGGACAACGGGAAGGTGAGCACAATATTGAGATTGTTATATTACAGTAGAATACAACAAACTTTTATTTTTTAGAATGAAATTTCATTCCAGTCGTGGAGATTGGACTGATGGGTCAGCAGAGAGTTACGCCTCCTTCTCTTCGGCCAAAAGAGACAACGTGCTTAATGTCTACATAACTGATTATGGGTGGTTATACAAAAATACATACTCGAAAGTAAAACTAAACTGATATGAATAGGGAGAAGAAAGATTTATGTTATTAATTTAAAATCAATAATTAACATATTTTAGAGGAACATTGATCGGTAGTTAGTATGACAATACATTAAAATAATATTGATAATTTTTACAAATCTTTCTTTACTGGCCCTGTACCATAATAATAATTGAAATATGTAAATGAATGTTATAAATAGCATTTCGATCGAGGCTTTGTGTGTTGTATTCGCACCATACTTGATCAGTTCTGGTACTGAGCGAAAGGCCTCGTCGGCAGTGGATTACAATTCTCAAGGGGTATGGTTGAAATACTATTAGGTTTTTCTTACGGGAAAAGCCGTAATACAGGGCCAGTAAAGAAAAATTTGTAAAAACTTATTATGAGTCTTATTGTGAGGTAATGTCACACTAAGTATCATCTAACAATTTTTCGTTACAGTGTATTAATTGGTGTTATCTATTGTTGCCATCTTTATGCTGGAATACTAGAATCAAAAGTAACACGATTTAAAAAATCCTTAATACTAATTGGTTTTGTATGTATATATGAACAGTAATTTTCTTGACAATTAAAATTATCTGGTTATAGCTGGCTCCCGGTAGCTCAGCGGTAAGTATGAAGGCTTATAAGCTAAAACTCTGGCTTTGATACCCGCGGCTGGCAGAGCCCAACTAGCCCATTGTGTAGCTTTTTGCTTAAAAGCAACAAGCCATACCAAATTATAACTGAATAGCTAATTCCTTTCTATGTTGTTTACCATACGTAGCTAGCTTCCGTGATATAACATTACGACAACTATTTTGGTCGTTTTTATGTTCTCCTCTTTCTTACAGCATTTTTGGAAGCACCTGTCTGAAAAGAAGAAAATAAACTTTGAGGACTTAAGTCACATCAAGTAAGTGACATAATTAATAATTCTACAGATCATGGCTATTTAAATTTATAGTGTTGTAAGTGTTCTGTAAAACAAATAAAAGTACTGTTACTTAGGCTACAATGAATTACGCTAGAAAACCACAGATCTGGTTACCACTACTGCTTGTAATGGACGATGTGCTTGAACACTGAAGACGAAACTCAACTTTATCCTAATTAACCATATTCTTAAAGGTGGTGCTGTTCTAAGTATATTATGCAAGAACATGAGTGAATCGTTAACATTATGGTGTTATTCTTACCAAATTCGATCTGAATTCTTTATATATTGTTTCAGTGTAGGGTGCAGTATCAAACTAATTTCTACGTAATTTTAAAAATCACATATCATACTTTTGTAAATTTAGGTTTGGAGTCTTTGCTCTTGGATCATCTCAGTATCCTACATTCTGTTCTTTTGGTAAAAATATCGACGAGACATTAGCCACATTGCATGCTGAGCGCCTCCTGGCGGTGGGTTTAGGTGATGAACTTCAAGGACAGGAACAAACTTTCAGCAACTGGGCAAAAGAATTCTATCAGGTGTGTGTAGTAAAAAATATTTGGTGCTTAGATTGTCCAAACTTACTGGAATCTCAGAGTTTTTGTAATTAGTAAACTCAATGAATTGATTTAAAATCCTATATTTTCTGAATGTTTCTAGGTTGCCTGCAACTCCTACACGTTGACAGCTAAAGACACTTCCTTGGTTTCCCTTGAATCGGCAAATGAATGGAATCCTGAAAAGTTCAGAACAACTGTTGTTGATGGTGTTTTTAATGATTTGTGTGAGGGTATGTACTGAAGTTTTATCATGATAAACGTCCTAATCAATCATCTACTTATCTTATGATGTGTTAAAGATCCGCAATTTTCTAACTCCTGTTTTTTCTTTTGAGGCTAGCCCTGTTATTCTTTTATTGTTTCTCGGGCCACTACTGTTGTGTCACTCAAGACTTTCGCAACTCTTATTGTATCTTCCAGGCCACTCCTGTAACTCTTGTGGTCTCTCTTAAGACCCTCCGTGCTTTTTGTAATATCTCTGAGGTCACTTATGTTACTCTGGTGTTGTTTCTTAGGGCTTCCTTGTTTTTCTTGTTTGTGTTTCAAGTCATTCCTGGAACTTTCGTAGTCACTTAGACAATTTCTGTGACTCTCTCTTATGGCTCTCTGTAATTTCTATAGTGTCTCTCAGGCAATTCTCATGACTCTTGTTGTCTCCCTCAAGACTCTTTGCGACTTTTGTAGTATCTCCCAATCCACTCACGAGATTCTTGTATTTATCTAAGGACTCTATTGTGGTGTCTTACAGGGTCCTGTTTCTCAGTGGTTTCTCTCAGGTCACTTCTGTGGCTCTTGCATTGTCTCTCAGGTCACTTCTATGATTTTTGTAGTCTTTCTCAAGATCTTTTGTGACTTTTATAGTATCTATCAAACAGTTTTTGTCACCCTTGTGTTGTCTCTTAGGCAACCCTTTAACTCTCGTGTTCTTTTTCAAGAGTGTCTATGATTTTTTTTCTTGTCTTGTGTCATATTTTCGTACAGTAAAACTATTGTGACACATCAGTAAGTTCAATGTTTCTGTATAACTCAGGTCTAACTAAGATTCACAAAAAGAAAGTTCAACCCTACAGAGTTACATCAAGAGCTCGACTTCAACATAACAATTCTGAGTAAGTACATTTTAGAAATATATACTGAAAATGTGATCTCTATAACTATATATTACTTAAACGTGGATTTTTTTTTATTTTTATTTTGAGGGAACTTTCGTTGTTAGATTGTATCATCCACCTCAAAAAAAAGAAGATAAAAAAAATAGTATTGGAATTAATATTCCAAGTACATATCTAGTTATACCACTGGATTTAAGTCAGTCAGCAAAAGGTGTCCACACAGTAACAATGTTTTTTTTAACAAATGGCTTATATAAATAGCGCTCCGACCACTACTGTGCTTGCTGTATCCCAGTCAGCCTGATGAGCTCTGGTATTCAGCGAAACGCGTCGTCGGCAGTGGATATGACGGAAATATTTTGGTTCAAATAATTTATACACAATTTTTCTAAAAAAAACAAACTTAAAAGCGTTTAAAAACGTAGTACTTCAATTACAATAACCCTTATACTATTGTCTTATGACAAACATAATTGATTGTAATTATGCTTCGCAAGCAAAAGGTGTTCAAATCATAACAATTGTTAAACTGAGAAATGTATTTGGTAACTAATTTCAGACGTCAGACAATTCTAGTCCGACTAGACATTCAGAAATCCCAAGACTTCACATACGAACCTGGCGACCATCTTAGCGTTTTCCCTACCAATTCTATAAATATTGTTAACCGGATCATGTCACGTCTGAATCCAGCAGATCGATCAGAGAGAAATGTGGTTCAAGTTGAGACTTTGGTTGGTAAGTGTAAAAGTTTTGCCTCACTGCTTCCTCGAAAATATTCGGTTGATAATAAAGCACTATGCTTTAATACATATTTTATATTTCAAAACGAAAAACTATTATATTAATATTTTCGTCAAGTGAATTAGTGACATTACAATCTGTAACATACAGTGAATAAACCTAATGGTTAATTGTAATTTTTATTGATCATACAAAGTGTATTTATAAAACTACCCTATTCCAGTCCAGCGTTTAATGCATTTGACTCTAGGCCCGGTATGGGCAGGTGGTTAGGACACTCGACTCACAATCTGAGCGTCGCGGGTTCGAATCCCCGTCCCACCAAACATGCTCGCCCTTTTAGCCGTGGGGGCGTTATAATGTGATAATCAATCCCACTATTCGTTGGTAAAAGAGTAGCCCAAGAGTTGGCGGTGGGTAGTGATGACTAGCTGCCTTCCCTCTAATCTTACACTGCTAAATTAGGGACGGCTAGCGCACATAGCCCTCGTGTAGCTTTGCGCGAAATTCAAAACAAACAATGCATTTGACTCTTAAACATGCGATCTCCGGTTCGAATAACAAAATTTAAAATTTTACACTAAACAGCCCATTATTTAACACGTCTGATTTCTGATAATAAAATTTCGGGTTCGAATCTCATACATAAGTTTGTTTCTTTTGAATTTCGCGCAAAGCTACTCTAGGACTATCTGCGCTAGCGTCCCCAAGTTAGCAGTGATAGACTAAAGGGAAGACAGGTAGCTAGTCAAAATTCTCCACTGCCAAATATTCGGCTATTCTTTTACCAACGAATATGAGATTGACCGTCACATTATAACGCTCCCACGACTGAAATGGCGAGCATGTTTGGTG